ACCCTTGTTACCTTCCCAATCACGAGTGATTGTTACAGCTAAAGCAAGTGTTAGCGATGAAACAGGAAGACCTCTTAACACTACGCAATTAGTAACTATACCTATTCCCACTATTCCTGCTAATTATGATGATTATAAGGAAGGAGATGAATCGTTTGATCCGTTTTATCGCGATGTACCTAAACTTCGTAATCATCGTCGTGCTATTGTACGTAAAGTTGAAAAAGTTTATAGAAGAAAAAGATCATTAACGGAGATCGATGATACTTCTACGATTCATAAAGAAACGAATTTTAATTCAAAAATTCATGATGTACATTCAATGGATAAAAATTTAAGAGTTTTAAAAAGGCATACGGATATATTTGATAATGGACAATCGAAAGAAGATAGAAAAATTGATATAGATAATAAAGATATGAATAAAACTTTTGAAAAACGGATGTCGCATGTTAGAATTAATAATGATCATATTTTTGAAGATTTAGAAACTAAAGCTTCTCGTCATATAAATTTAAATTCCGATGAACAAGATGAAGAAGAAGAAAAAGAGGAGATGGAAGAGGAGGAGGAAGAGGAAGAACAGGAGGAAGAGGAAGGGGAAGAGGAGAAGGAGGAAGAGGTGGAGGAGGAGGAGGAGGAAGAGGAAGAGGAGAAAAATAATCAGAATGAAAAAATATCTGAACGTGTTGAAAAAGAATCTGATGAAAATGTAGATAATATTCATACTTATGATATAGAAGTATTGGATCTTAATGAATATGTAGATTCTGAAACAAATTCCAATCTAGATGCAACAACTGAGTTAACTGAATCAATTAATAATACTAATACAAACGATGATAATAGTTTTGAGGTAACATGGCTTTTGGATAGTAATATTACTGAAACTGCAAATGTTGATGATTCACAGATGATTTCATATAACAATACAGATAAATTGGATAAAAATGAACAGGAAAGAGAAATTGAAATTGTTTCTGATATTGGAATGAAACATATCACTAATAGTGATGTATTTACCTTGGAAAAGGATAGTAATAAAAATGTAGATAAAAAACAAAATAAAACAAATAAAATTGCTAAATCACTGAGTATTGTTACAAATTCTAGTATTTTGTTAATGGATAAAAAAGAAGAAGATAAAGACGAACAAGAAATAAAAACAAGTTATGATAATTCAAAAGATAAAATAATAAATGATAATAAAGATTATTTGTATGACGATGAAGAGGAAGATGAAATGGAAAATAATTCAGATAAAATTGATAATAAAAAATCAAATAACGAAGAAATAATTTCTTCGAGAATGATGGAAGATATAATTGCTACTACCGAAATCGTTGATACATCTAAAACTGATATTCATACAAAGAAACTTCATTCGAGAATATCTAGAAGAAAAATGTCTGCAAAAAGAAAGGATCAAAAAGAATATGACAGTGAGATTGATATTATCGATTCTGAAGATTCTGAAGGACACTTATCGACAAATACATCTACCTCTCATTTTGAAAGAAATTTTAACGAACAGATAGATAATTATGATTCTAATAAATCTAATATACGAGATGTAAAAGCAATCGATTCTACGATAAAATATAGTTCTAAATTTGTAAAGGATATAACATCTAATAAAGAAAATGTTGGGAAAAAATTAACGCAAATTAATAATGTAGTCAAATATGATTCCGAAGAAACGAATGTAGACAATTTAGGGAAAATAAATAATTCTAGTAAATATCAATTGCCAAGTGATAAACAGGAAACATTAGAATCATCGAATGAAAGTCTAGAAAATAAAGATGAATCTAATAAAGAAAATGGTGAAACTACGGAAGCAACGTATATTTCTTTAGAAAATTCTGAAGAAAAAATAGATGTCACTAATACAAAAGTCAATTCTTATACAGAAGAGATTTCAATGGAACAATATCAAACTACAAATGACGTATCAACGGTGAATGGTAAGGATAAAGAATTTGAGAAAAATTCAAGTGAAATTTCTGACGAGAATGAACGTGAACATTTAGAAAGTAAAAAACATTCTCATGATCGAACAAAAATGAAATTGAAAGAAAATTATTCGTCTGAAGAAGTTTATCATAAAAGTAAACATAAAAATATTACAGATACAAATAAAGAAGAATTTCAATTGCATGAAAATTCTACGATTAAAGATATAGAAAGTACAGTTTTAAATGAAGATATCATTGAATATGATTATCCTATGAATCAATCAGATTATACCTGGGATAATATAGACGACTATAAAGAATCTGTTAGTATAGAAGATTTTACAGCTTCGATAGAATCTGACAATCATGAACAAGTAACAGAGTCGTATGAAACTATAACTAATTCTGCAGAAGTGGAAAATTCTGAATTGATTGAACAGGAAGACAGTACGACAGGCGTTTTAAAATTTATTGATGAATTACCAAGAATGAGTAAAACAGAAAGTAATACAGAAAAAGATATTGTCTCTGTTGAACCTGCTATACAAGATTATGTTGATGATAATTATGAGCCGCATAATTATAAGGAACAAGAGTCTCTAATGAATAATACTGAGAATCCAAATGACGATAAGATTGAAAAAGATATTAAAGTTGTAAATATTAATGAAAAGTTATCAAAGAATATAGATTATATTAAAATGGATAATATTAAAATGGAAAAAGAAGGATTAATACAAGAAAAGGACACTAAAGAGTTTGCTAAATTCATTGAAAATAATGAACAACAAATGACTATTGTACCAATTTCAAAGAGTACAATAGAGCCATTAACATTATCAACATTGATATCATCAACAATGTCATCAACTACATTATCAGTAACATCTTTACCATCAATAACAACGGTTTTACCACCAGAAACAACTTTACTAACGACAACAACAATACCAACGATAACTGTACCAACAGTGACTGTATCAACAACTATACCAACAACTCTACCAACAACTGTACAAACAATTACTGTACCAACAACAACTGTACCAACAACAACTGTACCAACAACGACTATATCAACGACTACATCAACTACAACTTTACCAACAACAACTCCAATCACAACTACTCGTTCTGTACCAAATCTTTTCAAGCCTTTTTCACTTAGAAAAAATTACAATTATATTCCTCCAACAACAACACCAAATCCAGTGATCATAAAGTCGAGACTACCTCTATTTAATCCAAAACCAGCCAAACCGCCAAAATCTTATAATGAGTTAGTACCAAAGCCAGTTATTAGGAAAATAACTTTACCAACTCGAAGACCACCTACTACTATGCCTACGAGCACTATAAAAAAGAGCGAAGAATTAAATAATATTGAAAGTACGACAACGAAATACGTAGAAAATTTAAGTGCAACACAAATTGTTGGATCATCCACTGATAGTACAGATTCACAATTTTTAAATTCAAATATTGAAAATTTCACTTCATATCCATCAACAAAACTATCAACATTATCTACAGTAACAGATGTTACTTCTTTAAACAGTGATACAAGTAATAACAATTCAGATACTACAGAAACAAGTACAATTACAAGAGATATAATAAATGAAGACACCATGGATATATCAACTATACCAACAGTTATTCCTACTGTAATAGATAAAGAATACATAGATGAAAAGAAGCATACAGAGACAATGGAAATTAAAACTTCTGTGACTACCGGCTATTATCATAATGATGTAACAGTTGCTACAACAACTGAAAACATACATTCTAATAATCACCAATCTCAACACCTAGTTCAACTATAATTGAAAATGTGGATAAAATTCCATTATTAGAAACGACTCGGCGATTGAAAGATAAGTCATTCTCCATTTCAAAAATATATGGCAGCTTTAATTGCCTGGAAAGAGAAATGTATAGATTTTATGGTGACGTGAGAGATTGTCGACTATTTCATTACTGCTCTCCTGGTTTTACTCCAAAGCAGGTTTTAGATTTTCGCTTTGTCTGTGAAGAAGGTACTATTTTTGATGAAGAAAGTCAAAGTTGTCGGCATGACGTTAAAAGTACCAAGTGCCCTAATAGACTGTGGTAAATAAGAACATTTTTGTTTTGTCAATACATCTCCGTCCCCATATTATCTTCTGCTATTGATTTTAGTAATTCGTGAATCCTAGGACTCCTTAATATATTTATAATTTTAATTTAATATGTAAGATCCCTAGAAGGAGAATCCTTCTTCTAAGCATTGCCATAACTCTGAGTAAATGCACTGGATTCACACTTATTAAAATTAATGCAATTTCTGATATGATGCGTTTATAAATTATATTAATCATATATATTAAAACAAAACGAAAAAAAAAACAAAAAAAAAGAAAAAAAACAAAAAAAAAACAAAAAAAAAACAACACCATATCAAATTCAAGAGTAAGAAGTGATATAATACCATTAATAAGATTTTACCTGGCTTTTGATCAGGAAAAATATTCATGAGATTTTAGGTTAATGACTGAAGGATATCGGTTCCTATGTTGCATAGGCAATGGTTTGTAAAAGGATGTAAAATTGTTTATATTTGATATTTATGAATGTGTGAGTCATGTGATAACATAATTGCCTTATTAAAGAATACTATTGTCCTTTTTTTTCTCTCCTTTTTGTTTGTTTGTTTGTTTTTCTTCTTTTTTTCTTTTTTTTTTTTTTTTTTTTTTTTTTTAATTGACCATATAGATAAATATAGAATACTGACTGCAAACATGCAGTTATAATTGCAAGTTTTATTTTTTTATCTTGGGAAAGAAAAGCTATTATTATAGATTTTAATTATCATAAACTTTATGTTTGGATTCATTGTACATACTAATTCATGGAATTAATAATGAATTGTTTTAAAATGCTATTATAAGCATGCAAACATAATTATGTCACGTGTCATATCGTTTGCAATGATGATAATATTCATAAATAAAGATTTGTTCCCAATAATCATCTTGTTTATAAATATATATATATATATGTATATATATATATATGCACAATACTTACATATATTTAACATAACAGATGTTCCTGTGACGTACTTGCGATGAATATTAACATACACATTCAAATAAGGAAACTACATTAATATATCACTGCGCCATCTAGCTTTATAAGTACACAGTTGATGTTGTAGGCTACTCTTTTTTACGTATATAAAAGTTTGGATAATCTGCTTGGATACGACTTATATGTTTGATACATAAATAAGACTAATAATGATTGGTAATGATATGAAATTGAAAAGATTAGAACGAATAGATATTTGTATTTGTTATTGTAAGTAATCTTTTCATTTATCAAAGAATGAAATTTTTAATGAGACGTAATAAGTTTATAACTGTAATTTATATATTGAGTAATAACTTTCAATTATTATGATTATTAATTGATTAATTGGCCCTACTTTGTGTATGATTCATACTAAACCGGTTTAAAATAAACGTAATCATTTTTAAGTTTCAGTTACATGATGCTGTCAGAAATTATTATTTGCAATTGTATTTTATATATATATTCTGTGACATACAACCAGATGGATTGACATTAACATTGACTAAAAGGTTATTATTCCATTAAATTCATATATCCTTGATTATATATACAATTTTGTGATAGACTTTGATGACTTTGTTAAAATATTTGTAAATAGAAATTTATGTTTTTTCAGCTAAATAACAATTTTGTTGTTACCATGTCATTCTATCCATTACAACGTAAATCAACATTTCTAATTGGATTTGGAATTGGCTTTTTTCTAGCCTCTTTATTTTACTTCATAGGAAGTTATGTTAATGAAAGTGCTATATATAATGAGAAAAAGTGGCAATATCAACATTATTCTGATGATTTATCTATAGTATGGATGACGCCTATAAATTTGCTCTCTCGAGGAATTAAATTTCGTAATTGGGCCAAAAGTAATTGGACAAAGGGATTAGAAAATGTATCATACAATAAGTGGTTTGCAACATATAATTTGCAAAGAAATGCAATTGATATGGATCGTTATTTATATGAACCAAAATCAGATAATATATCGCAAAAACTTGTAACATTGGAATCGGATTGGTTAAAATCTAAAATATTTATTACATGTATTGTTTTTGTGGAAAAAGTAAAATTAGCAAAATCGATAAAAGATACTTGGGGTAGTCATTGCAATCGAATATATTTTTTTGGACAACGTATACAAGATTCCAAAATACCAATTATAAATTTTACTATAAAATTTCAATCTTCTTGGCATTTTTTATGTGAAATTATGAATTATATATGGAAAGATGATGAGGTCAAGGAATGGATACTTTTTGTAAAAGATGATATGATGGTAATCTTGGAGAACTTACGTTATATAGTTGCTCCGTTAAACTATGAAGAAAATTATTATTTGGGCCATGCCGTTGTAATGTGGGGTCAACCGTACAATGTTGCTCAAGCAGGTTATGTACTAAGCAAAGGGTCACTTAAAAAAATGATAGAAATGTTTAATACGTCACAAAAATGTGCTGCTGGTGGAAAATATTGGAAAAAAGAGGATTATTATCTTGGTAAATAAATTAATTAAAAATGAATAATAATTATATGTATATTTTATATGTATATATTTTAATATTATGTACAGGAAAACATCTATCATCTATGGGTATTCTTCCTATGGATACAAGGGATGAATATTTAAGGGGAACTTTTCATGGTTATGCTTTAAATAATTTATTGTGGGGAATTGCAAAACCTGGTAGTTATTGGACGCATGCTTTATATCCTCCACAAAAAGAATGTTGCTCTTCTATGTCTGTGACATTCAGTGCTACTGAAGCTGATAAAATGTTCACCTTTAATTATTTGTTATACAATTTACATGTCTTTACTAAGAAAGGAGTTTTTGGAAATAAACGTGCTCCTACATCATTACCTGAAGAAGATGTAAGATTTATTGGATCAATAATTTACTTATTTTTTTTATATATACATATATATTTTTTTCTTTTTATTTTATAATTAAAAGTATTTATTCATATGAATATAGTTATTTATAGATTTTATTACATTGCATATATCATAAAATTTATTTTTATTTATTATTAATTGTAGGTATGGAAAATTGCATTAAAAGAAGAATTTAATATCACTCACTTGAATGAAATTTCTAGTGATGCATATTATGAAATATGGCATTCAAAATATTCTGAACCCGAGCAATTGATTTTAAAGAATTATCGTAATACTTCAAATATATTAACTTCTATTTTAACAGCTTATGAATCTAGAAGTCAAGTATCTGATAAATTATCATTAAAATAAGGAATAGAAAAAAGATAGGTTTGTATTTTGTTATTTTCTATATGAAAAAAGAGATTACATATATTTTTTCTAACAACATATTAAATACGCTTTTATAAGAATAATAACTATTATTGTACTAATTTATAAATTTAAGTGCTTTTCTATAATATTGTTTTAAAAAATAGGTTAATATGTTATACAGTATTATTCAATACAACGACAATAATAATAATAATAATGACATAATAAAAAATGTTTAAGAATATTTGTTACTTTCAGAATTTATTCCATGTTTTTATTATTTCAAAGAAAACATTTTGATATATATATATATATATTTAATTTAAAGCAGTCATTCTACCAATATCAAGAGTGATAATACGAAGTGTTACTCTATTAGCAATTAAATGGTCATAATTATTTGATAAGAATATCCGTTGTGGTATTTCAATATTGTTTTATCTACCTAATTAGCGACCATAATGAATCACATAAATACGAATAATTATAGTGTAAGAGAGAGATAGAGATAGAAAGAGGGGGAGAGAGAAAGAGAGAGAGAGAGAGAGAGAGACATGGATGGATTTGATTTATATTGTTAAATTATAAAATAATCTAAATTAACACAAATATGATGATAATATAAGAGATAATAATAGTTTGTAAATCAAATAAAGCGATACGTTTACTAATGGTTTTGTTTTTCTTAATAGGATTGCATAAGGATAAAAATAATGATTATATATAGTAATTATTTATCTATTATTTGTTTTACTTTCGTGACATAATTTTTAATCTTTTGATTTGTCAGGATGTTAGCAATGGTTATAAATGGTCATTTATCAGTTATCCGTTTCCTTTTAGAGGTAGGTATATAAAAGAAGTGAAGTATTATCATAACTATTAAAAAAGACTACTTACTGGTGTGTACTGTTGTTGCATAATTTAATTAGTTTTCATCTCATATAATGAATATAAAATTTTGATTATTTTTATTGAAATGTTGTTTTGGCATTTAATACTAGTTTCAATAGCAGTAATAACTGCTACGAGTATATCAGTACAAGAAGATAGACCTACAAAATCCTTTCAAAATAAAAAGTCAGTATCTGTAGAATGAAAATCCTTTTTTATTATTCTTTTCTTTTGCAATTTAACTCATTTAATTTGTTTATATATTTTACAACATGATAATTAAATATAATAGTTAAATAAAATTTATTTATTTAGAAATGTAGCTCATAAAAATGTCAAAACTAAGAAAGTTGAAAGAAAGGGAGTATATGCTGGTGGTTGTATTGAAAGTCCAGATCCACCAATTAATGGGAAAATAAAATGTTCTATAGACAGGTATGCTTTTAAATGGCAAATATATATATTATATTTATCATATGACAATGTAATAACAAATGGGAAGTTATTTATAATATATTATTCTTCGTAGTGGATGTATTGCCAGCTGTGAATATGATTATATTTTTCCAATTGGACTAAGTCAACTGGCTATAATATGTAATGATGCAAAGTGGGATATTGTTGGTACAGAATGGAGTACAATACCACATTGCCAACGTATGTTTTTTTTTTCAATATATCATTGATATAATTGGTTTTTTTTTTCTATAAAATTTATATTTTATATAGATAATGATAATGTAATAGTTACAATATATTTTTTTTTTTTTTTTTTTTATTTCAGCAATATGTATGCCCAATTGTCAAAATAGTGGAATTTGCATTGCACCGCATCAATGTAACTGTCCTGAAAATTTTTCTGGCCCACAATGCCAATTTGAAAATAAACCATGTATGGATTCTGTACCACGTGTTCTTAATTCTTATAAACATTGTAATTCTAAGTAAGTGACTTGTACTTCATTTGTATTCATTTATTAAAAAGAAAATATTTATATATAAATTTTACTTTCAGATTTTGTACTATATCTTGTATGGAAAATTTTGTATATCCAGATGGGTCGGCAGTTGCCAATCTGGTTTGTAAAAATGGTAATTGGGTACCAACTAGGACAGATTGGGTATCAATTCCAGATTGCATACGTAAGTTTCCAAAAGATTGTATTATTTGTTATATATACTTATTTTAAATATTTTCTATATATTTAATATACAGATTTTTATATTTAGATTTTAATTTAATTTTATAGCTATTTGCAATCCACCGTGTCAGAATGGTGGTCAATGTCTTCCAACAAATGTATGTCTATGTCCACAAGAATTCAGAGGACCTCAATGTCAATATTGTAAGAATTTTTTATATTTTTATAAAATGTTAATAATAATTATTTTTAAAGTAAAAAATTAACATTTTTATAAAATGTTAATAATAATTATTTTTAAAGTAAAAAATTAATTCCATAAATATACACAATTTGTAATATTTTACATTAATTGTATATAATGTTTTTTTTTTTTTTTTTTTTTTTTATAGCACAGGATGTCTGTAATAATAAAAAACTGAACTTCAATGGTGGTATTTATTGTATTAGCTCAGAGAATATAAATTCCTGTACATTAAATTGTCCACTTGGCACAAATTTTGAATTTTTACCAGCAGCTAGATATACTTGTAATTATGATACAGGAGTTTTCTTACCACAGCCAATTCCTCAATGTAAAGATGATAATAATATAGATATTTTCACTGCCTATGAGTCTAATCATACATGGTCCATTAATAGTAATTTTATATCCACCGTGGAAAATAATACCATTGATTTTCCAATATCTAGAGGTGACCAAATGATAAAGGTAAATATATTTTAATATTTTGCTAGAAAAAATAGCTTAAAAATTAAGCAATGTATATAAATATACATATATATATATTTTTTTTTAGGATATATATGGGTCATTGAATAATAACTATGTTCTTATTGAAGCGAAACGACCTGAACCAAAGACTTGTTTTACTTGGGGTGGTACACATTATAAAACTTTTGACGATCAAATTTTTAGTTTTGAAGATAATTGCAGTCACATTATGTTGCAAGAGATGAGCAATGCTGTTTTAACGATAACTGTACGAAATAGTCCAACCTGCAGAATGGAAAATCGTTGCTTTAGAATTATTGAACTTTTCGTTGGTGGAAAGGAATATATTCTTTCACGGAATGAGAGGGATATACCTGAATTTCGTAACATTAAAAAATCTTTTCCAATACCAGTTCGTTTGCCAGGCTTACGTGTTGATATGTCAGCACACTTCATTATTGTTTATTTAGACTCATTAGGAGTCAAATTGAAATGGGATGGAGGGCTATTATTACAGATAGACGCATCTGAAACTATGTGGAATAGAACAGCAGGTTTGTGCGGAAGAATGAATGGCGATGCTAGAGATGATTTGATAGGTAAAACTGGGAACCATCCGATTAATATTGAAGTATTAGCAAATAGTTGGCAAGTTGAAAATATTGGCGGTGAGTTTGGATATTCTTAATTATGAAAATACATATTAAATATAATTTATTATATTTATATATATATATATATATATATATACATTATTTTTCTAGAAACATGTAATGAATATCCAAAAGTAGAGCATTCTTGCATATCAGAATATGCTCAAGAAGCTGATGAATTTTGTACAAAATTATTGTCAGATAATAAATTTCGAAGTTGTTCAAGTACATTAAAGATTTCAGATATGAAATTAGCTTGTATCTGGGATTATTGTACTTGTAATGATTTAGATAGAAGGATATGCGCGTGCGATACAATGAATGTTTATGTAAGACAATGTGCTCACAAAGGTATTGTTCCTTTGTCCGGCTGGAGAAATGAGAATTTTTGTCGTAAGTAATCATTGTAATTAAAATAAATCTATATTAATATTTTGCAAAATAATATAATTAGATACAAATTTAGATTTATTATTTTATATATCAATTATTATTATTAAAAATATATATATATATATTATTATATTAAAATGTTTATTTACATAGCAATGCAATGCACAAAAGGACGTATATATAAGAAATGTGGACCAAGGGCACAACCTTCTTGTGGTTTTGATATTGATTCTAATATAAATGATGATGATTGCGAAGAAGGTTGTTTTTGTCCTGAAGGTTTTTTGATGCATGAAGATAAATGTATACCACAAGAAGAATGTCCTTGTAGATTAAGAAGAAAATTATTTCAACCTGGAGAAAGCGTGGCAAAAGATTGTAATACTTGTACTTGTACTTCTGGCAAATGGATTTGCACACAAATACAATGTGCTGCTAGATGTGCTATCATTGGCGATCCACATTATACAACTTTTGATGGTAAACACTATGATTTTATGGGTAAATGTAAATATTATCTGTTAAAAGGTGAGAATTATAGCATTGAAAGTGAGAATGTTCCATGCTCTGGAGCAATATCAGAGGTTGGTACTCATTTATATAAATAGATATTACATACACATTTCATTTATGTAGTTATACAAATAAATAAAACATTTTTTTTTTTTTTTTTTTTTTTTATTTATATTCTTTAGTATTTAGGCTTCATTACGTCAGATACACCTTCTTGTACAAAAACGGTAACAATAAAAATAAATCAAGATACTGTCAAATTAAAACAAAATAAGCAAATAGTAATCAATGGTGAAGATGTAAATAAATTACCACTTTTTGTTAATGGAATAAAATTACAAGCTGCTAGTAGCATATTTGTAGTGGTTCGTATGTTAAATGGTTTAGAAGTTTGGTGGGATGGTATGTCACGTGTTTACATTAATGCACCAGCAGAATTTCATGGTATGTCATATCTAATTTTCTTTTCTTTTTTTTTTTCTTTTTTTTTTTTAGAATAATTTTTTTTAATTTTACTTATCAGGTAATACAAGAGGACTCTGTGGAACATTTTCTAATAATCAAAAAGATGATTTTATAACGCCAGATGGTGATATCGAAAAAATAGTAACTCTCTTTGCTAATAAATGGAAAACAAATGAACAATGTTTAGATGTTCATGATAGTGAACCAATGCATCCTTGTGATTTGAATCCACAAAAGCGTGTTTATGCAAAAGAATATTGTTCTAAATTGTATTCAGATATATTTTCTGGTAATTTTCTTTTATTCTTTTTGTTATTTCTGGTTATTTTGATTTATAGAAAATAATATTTATATGTAAACAAACATAATAATAATAATAATAATAGTGATGATGATAATTAAATCCGATTTTAGATTGTCATTGGTATGTTGAACCTGAAGTATTTTACAAAGATTGTTTATATGATATGTGTGCATGTACAGCTGATATTAAGACATGTTTCTGTCCTATGCTATCGGCATATGCAAAGGATTGTTCAGAAGCAGGAATAAAATTATTATGGCGTCAAGAAATTCAAGAATGTAGCATTCATTGCTCTGGAGGTCAAGAATATCAAATTTGTGGAAGTAGTTGTAGAAGGTACTTACATATATATTTGGATTATATTACATATAAATTTGGATTATAATGAATCGAAAGTGAAATGAAAATATATTTGATATATAAAATGATATTATTTTTAGATCGTGCAGTGACATATCTTTTAATCCAGATTGTAAAGAAGAATGTGTTGAAGGTTGTAATTGTCCTGAAGGTCAAACATTAGATATTATGGGTGAATGTATCCCAATTGGTCAATGTCCTTGTATTCATTCAAATATTGAATTTAAAGCTGGTTATCAAGAATTACGGCCTGGACAAAAAGGACAGGATTTATGTACTTGTACAGGTATATTAACTAATTACACACACACATATAACTATTGTGAAGATGAATTTTCATAAATATAAATATTATTTTTTTACAGGTGGTAAATGGAATTGCAGACTTGCTACATCAAATGAGATTGAAAAATATCAATTATTTAATAATACATCAGTTAGTTGTTCTGCAACTAAGAATTTAATATTAACGGATTGTGAGCCAGTACAATCAAAAACATGTCATAATATGCATATACCAATTACAGAAAGTAGTAGTACTTGTAAACCAGGATGCATTTGTAAAACCGGTTATGTTTTGGATGTAATAAATGGCGTTTGTATCAAAGAAGAAGAATGCCCTTGTCATCATGGAGGAAAAAGTTATAAAGAGGGATCGATTATACAAAGTGATTGTAATACCTGCAAATGTACAAGCGGAAAATGGAATTGTACGGACAGAATATGCGCAGGTAATCATTTTAGAATATTTAATATTTTATTTTATTTAAGATATATTAATTTTAAATTGTCAAAAGTTATACAATTAATTCTTTTTTTTTTTTTGTTTTTTTTTCCAGGCGTTTGTTCCGCATGGGGTGATTCTCATTATGAAACATTTGATGGCAAATTATTTAATTTCCAAGGTGTATGTGATTATACTTTAGCGAAAGGTGTTTTGAGCAAAGAAGAAACATTTTATATTTCTATTCAAAATGTTCCTTGTGGAACAACCGGAGTATCCTGTTCTAAGTCTGTAACACTTAAAGTGGGACATAGTGCTAATCAAGAAATAATTACATTAACAAGAGGAAAAAGATTGCCTAAAGAAAACTTTAAAAGGATTGCTATTAGGACAATAGGTTTATACGTGTTCCTTGATGTGCCTGATTTAGGTTTAGTATTACAATGGGACAAAGGTAAATATATGTATATATATATATATATTTTTTTTTTGTTATTACTATTAATATAATTTTTAGAAAATTTTAATTTTAAATTGTCGTTTTAATTTAGGTACTAGGGTTTATATTAGATTAGATCCAAAATGGAAAGGGCATACAATAGGTCTTTGTGGTGATTATAATGATAATAGCAAGGATGATTTTAAAACACCTTCTGGTGGCATTTCTGAAGTTTCTTCTATCTTATTTGGAGACTCATGGAAAATAAACGATTTTTGTCCTGAACCTAAAGATATTGAAGATCCATGCGAACAACATCCAGAACGAAAAATATGGGCCATTGAAAAATGTAATATTTTGAAATCTGATCTTTTCCGGCCGTGTCACTCCGAGGTGGATATTGAATTTTATATACGAAATTGTATTTTCGATGCATGCGGTTGCGATACAGGTAATTCTATTTATTTTATTAATTATTATATTTTCGAATGAAAAAAAGAACAAAAAAAGGGAAAAAAAAGAAAGAAAAAGACAAAATCTAAAATGTATTAAATAATAATTATTTAATTTAGGTGGCGACTGTGAATGCCTTTGCACATCATTAGCAGCATATGCTCAACAATGTAATGCAAAAGGTGTTCCTATAAAATGGCGTTCCCAAGATCTATGTCCAATGCAATGCGATAAAGAATGTAGTACCTATTCTCCATGTATTTCAACATGTCCCTATGAAACTTGTGATAATCTTTTAACTATTAAAGATAATTTACATTTATGTTCACAAGACGCTTGTATAGAAGGTTGTTTATTTAAAGCATGCGCCAATGATCATATCTACAAAGATAATAATTATACAGAATGTGTTCCTAAATCAACATGTAAGCCAATATGCGCAGAAATTAATGGGGTATGTTTGTTAATTAATATATATATATATATTTTTTTTTTAAGAATATTTATTTATTTATTTATTTAAAAATATATTTATATATATATATATATTTTTTTTTTAAGAATAGAAAAATTCTGTTACATGTATTTTAATTCGTATATTTTTTAATATATTCAGACTGTTTTCTTGGAAGGCGATGAAGTTAGCAGTGATAATTGTCAAACTTGTTTCTGTAGTCGTGGTAAAATAATATGTCAAGGTGGACCATGTACAACTACCCCAACATTACCTACGATTCCTATGGAAGAACCACAAAAATGTATAGATGGCTGGTCAGCTTGGATAAATAATGATAAAAACGTAAAAGGACAGATGCTCAATGACATTGAACAATTACCAAATTGGACTGATTTGGTAAAAAATAAATATGATATTATTATATTTATATAAATGTCAATTTAAAAATATTATTTACATTATGATATATTAAAGGCATCGATTGAGGGATCAGCCGTATGTACAAAGGAACGAATGATTGATATAAAATGTCGATCGGTAAAGAATCATTTAACTCCAAAAGAAACTGGTTTAGATGTTGAATGTAGCTTGGAACGTGGCCTTTATTGTAAATCACAACCAGATTTTCCATGCATAGATTTTGAAATTAGTGTTTTGTGCCAGTGTACATCAAAAACTACGGAAACATCAATTATAATTTCAAGTAAGAAATAATATCGTAATTGTTATGATACGTGTAAAAAAGTTGATGTATTTTAAATTCTTAAAAAATAATATAATTTTTAGCCATTACCGAAGAACCAGAAGAGAACGTTTGCGAGTTGGCAAACTCTTATAAAGCACATCCAACAGATTGTTATATTTTTTATCATTGTACTCCTACAATTAATCAAAATGTATGGGTTGAAAAAACATGTGGTCCAGATATGTTTTACAATCCGAATCTTAAAATATGTGATTGGCCAGCAAATGTTAGACTCATAAAACCTGAATGTTCTCTTAAACAAACAACCTCAAGTAATGAAACTGAACAGATTACTACATCTTATGAAAACACGTTCACAACAATTTATGAGAAAAACGTTACCACTAAAAGTATGATCGATACAAATTTAATAAAATGTATATAATTTACTTTTATTTCTATTAATATTATTTTTATTAAAATTTATTTCTTTAATAGGATTATGTGAAATTGGTGAGAATTGGAACGATTGTTCTATTAAATGTAGTCAAACTTGCGAATATTATCGTTATTCTTTATTAGAGCAAGGCTTTTGTAAAGGAGATACAGATTGCATTCCAGGTAAAGAAAACTTAATTATAAATTATTTTTATTTCAAATTGTTGTTTATTAACTAATAAATATTATTTATGTATTTTTATAAATAGGATGTGTATCATTAAAAAGAACAGAATGTCCTTTGTACAAATTTTGGAAGGACTATGATACATGCGTTGATCAAATTGATTGCACTTGCAAATCTCACGAGGGACAGAGTGTAAAAGCAGGTACCGTTGTTAAAGAAACCGAATGTGAAATATGTCAATGTATTAATAATTATTATACTTGCGATAAAACAATATGTACAAATGTTACTCATCAAGTCGAAGAAGAAACATCACCGTCGTGAGTAAATTTTATATTGAAAAATTTTATTATTATTATAAAAGATAATAATATGTTATTAATAAAATATAATTGATTTTTAGTACACTTATATACAATTACGAAACGGAGTCTTCAACTTCTAAGCCTGAAGAAAAGAATATAATTATTGTATCCAGTACTGTAACTCCACCTGAACAATGTGATAGTGATAGATATATACCATTAATTCAACAATCTACGCCAAATCAAATTTCTTTTTATGCTAGTAGCAGTAATGGTGTTGAATTTCAGCCTGAAAATGCATTATTTGATAGTCAAATATCAATGGAGCCTGTTAAAAGTTGGCAACCAGAATTTGTTGACAAAAATCAATGGTTTGATATTTTACTAATTTCTTTTTTCTTTTTTCTTTTTCTTCCTAGTATTTTCTTTCTAGTATTTCCAAAAAAATATTCTTTTGATTTCTTAAAATCTAAAATATATTTTTAGGCTTGCTATAGAATTTCAACATCCTCTACCAATTTATGGTATCATTTTGAAAGGTTCACCAAGTGACGACAAATTTGTAACAAGTTATCAAATTCTTTTCTCTGATGATGGCCATGCATTCTCATACGTAATGGATACTACAAAACAACCACGTATATTTAGAGGACCTGTCGATGGCATTAAGCCGGTTGAACAAAAATTTTATGAACCCATCGAAGCAAAAATTATCCGTATATATCCTTTGACATGGCACAATGGTATTGCTATTAAAGCCGAAATACTTGGTTGCGAGGAAGTTACAGTTAAAAGTACAATTGTGACCAAACAATTATCAACAACTATAAAAGAATTCTTTGGATCAACGACCATTGGATATACCGATAAAGTTATAAAACCAGGTAAAATATGTTCTTATTAATTGTTATTGTTAAGCCCCCCCCTCTTCCCCCGTCTTCCCTTTAATCATATACTTAAGAAAAGAAATTGATTTAAATCTTATAACAGTGTGCAATGATACCATGGGCCTGGATGATGGATTATTGTCAGATGCACAAATCTCAGCATCCTCTTCGTTCGATAATCTTTTACCAAATATCAGATTATCAGGATTGGGTCTATGGAGACCAAGATTGGATAATTTAAATCAATACGTTCAATTTGACTTTTTGGAACCACGAAATATAACAGGAATTATAACAAAAGGATATAATAATGTATGGACGACTGTTTATAAAGTTTTTTATAGCATTGATGGTCGTCAATGGAATCCAATTATTGATGACAATGACAATGAAGTAGAATTTTTAGGAAATTTCGATTCCAACAATGTTAAAACGAATTTATTTGAAAAACCATTGCGAACAAGATTATTACGTATACAACCGATAAAATGGCACGATCATATAGGATTAAAGGTTGAAATACTCGGATGTTTCTTACCGTATCGTAAGTTTTTCTTTTTTTTTTTCTACAGACATTTATTATAAAAAATTAAAAACTATTTTTATTGTTAAAGTAAAATAATCTTTGACTTTTTTTTTTTTCTTTCTCTTCAGCCATAGTAACAACAGAATTGCCTGGACCAACGGAACCAAATATATCCGTATGTAATATATGCGAGGGTATATTAACAGAGAGCAATGTTAAATGTAAATGCGATCAATCTTTATGGTGGAATGGAGAAACTTGCGTTTCAAAACAAAATTGTCCATGCGTTGTTGGTCATATTACGTAAGGAAAAAAAAAATGATAATATAATATAAAGTCTAATAATGTGCGCAGATAATTATTTTAATATATATATATATATATATATATATATATATATATATATATATATATATATATATGTATATATATATTTTTTTAATTATATTAGATATGCTGTTGGATCAATCTATGAATCAGAAGATTGTCAACAATGTTCTTGTACATTAGGTGGTATACCTTCTTGTATATCAAAAAAATGTGAACCATGTACCGAGCCAGGAATGCAAGTAGTCGTCACAGAATTATGTAGCTGCGTTTGTAAACCTTGCCCATTTGGTAAAAGATATTGTCCAACTAGTAATGTCTGTTTAAATGAAACATTATGGTGTAACGGGGTACAAGATTGTCCTGACGATGAAAAGAATTGTCCAAAAATTGAAACATCATCTATCGGACACTTTGAATCTACAATTAAATCTACAACCAATTCAATTTCTACCTTAAGCACAGTTTCAGGTAATCTATGAATTATTTCTTTCTAATCCATATGATTATATTAGGTAAATAATTATCCAAGTAATATACTTGAGATAAACAATAAGAAAAAATTATATTTAGTTCCTTCAGTTCAATGCGAAGAACCAAAATGTCCTCCTGGATATAAGATAGTTCAACAGAACATGTGGAGTTCACATTATACAACTACAACAGTTTATACCAGTAGCAATACTTATAAAGAAATTAATTATATTCATAAAACAAAAAGTAATTATAATAGTTATGTAAAGGTTAAACAAAAACCAACAAAACAGTTAATAAAAAAGAAAAATAACAGGTAAATATAAATTTATCATAATATATTTTATATTAAGTGGCTTCTTTCTTTTTTATCCTTTTTCTTTTTCTTTTTAATCTATTTAATTTTTTTGATATTATAAATTATGATTTTTTTTTTCTTTTTTTTTTTTTTAGAGAATCATGGACGCGTCATCATACTGTTGATTATAAAAATTATAACAATGGAGAAAGTATGATCTGTCAACAATTTACATGTGTCCCTATAAGTCCACCGGTTTTAATTAATGAAACAACGGAATATTGTCCAAAAGAAGCATGTCCTCCGAATTATACGATAAAATATGAAAAAGTGAGTATGTATAAGATTGAAAAATGTCCAAAGTATACGTGCGAGCCACCAGTACCATTGGAAGCTATTTGCAACGTTACGGGCAGAACATTTAATACATTTGATGATTTAGAATATAAATATGATATCTGCAATCATATTTTAGCAAGAGATATGTATGAAAATAAATGGTATATAACGTGTGAGTACATATAATATTTTCATTATATATTTATATCATGATCATTTGATTTCTTTAATTTTTATATTACAATCTTTTTTTTTTGCTTTCAGTGGAAAAAGAGTGCGACAAATATGGTATCCAATGTTCACGAAATTTAGTAATATTTATTGACGATGAAGTAATAGTTTTATATCCAGATATGCATATGGACATCAACGATTATACTTTTACATCAAATCAGGTTGGATATCTTGGTGAAAAATTCAAATTATTTAAAGTGTCATGTGTTGGTGACACTATATATCTTACTTGCAAGCATTATGGATTTTGGGTTATGTGGAATGCAGATATGAATGTTAAAATTGGTATTAATAAAAAATTGCATAGCCTTGTCGATGGTCTTTGCGGTTACTTTGATGGATATATATTAAATGATAAACAAATGCCCGATGGAAAACAATCTAAAAGTACAATTGAATTTGGAAATAGTTGGATAATGGAAGGTGCATCGCAATGTGAATCTCAAGTTTGTATTAATAAAAAAATTTTTAATCCGATTATCTTATTATTTTAAAATATATAATTAAATTTAATCCCTTCATATATAATGAATCGTTATAATTTTATATATATATATATATATTTTTTTTTTTTGTTATATTTTACAGGTATGTCCACGTGATATCCAAGAAAAGGGATGGAAAATTTGTAATATGATAAAAGACAGATCTTTGGCTGTTTGTTCTGGTGTGGTAGATTTTGAAAAATTCCTTTCAAGATGTTTAGAGACCGTCTGCACATGTTTACGCAGTAATTCTACGTACGATAATTGTCGTTGTCGTACATTGACAACTTTCGTTACAGAATGTCAGGCTAATAATCAAAATATTGATTTGTCAACTTGGAGAAATATTTATGATTGTCCTGACAATTGTTTGGCACCATACGTACATAAAGATTGTTTCCGGTAAAGAGTTTTCATATATTATAATAATACGTTTAATATTTCCTAATAATAAATATTTTTTACTAATTATTTATTTATAAAAAAAAAACAAAAAATAGGAATAAATGTGAACGTAGTTGCAACGATTTACAAGAGGCTGATCCTTGTCCGATTATGGAAGGTGTATGCTTCTCGGGTTGTTTTTGTCCAGAGGGTACAGTACGTAATGGTAATGATTGCGTTCTTACAACTGAATGCCGTAATTGTATTTGTGAAGGATTTGGTAATTCAAAGTTTATTAGTTTCGATAGAAAAAATTTCACATTCCAAGGAAATTGTACATACATTTTGTCGAGGGATATTATTGACAAAACAAATTCGCAATATAAAAATCATACATATCAGGTAAAATAGGTTTCTTTGTTTTTATATATATATATATATTTATAAATAAATATTAGTAACATAATTAATATATAAGACTAATATATATATATATATAACAGGTCTTAGTTTCCAATACTATTTGTGATACTGGTATTTGCACAAAGGCGATTATTGTTTTGTATGAATCGCATGTTATCCAAATTGAAAGAACACCTGTTACAAAAATGGTACGCATTTGTTAATTTACGAAATATCTTTGATATATATATTTAAAAATTATTACAATATTTTATTATTTATTATTTATTATTTATTATTTATTATTTATTATTTATTTTATAACAGTTCGACATAAATATTGATAATATTAAAGTGGAACAATTGCCATATAAAACGCATTGGGTGAAATTGGAAGAAACATCTGGGAAAGATATGAAATTATTAATACCAGCTATTCAATTAGAAATAATTAGTATGCAATCTAATTTTGCTTTTACAGTTAGAATTGCCTCTCGTATATTTGGTGATGCCGTTGAAGGTTTATGTGGAAATTGTAATGATGATATAGAGGATGAATTGAAACAACAAGATGGAAAGGTATACATAGAAGAAATAGATAATAATTAATAATGAATATAATTAATTTCTATGTATATGTAATTTTTATTCCTCACAATTTTTTTTTTTTAGATTACAGATAATGTTGAACAATTTGGAAAAAGTTGGTTGGTCGATAGTATACCGATTAACATTGATCTGAAAATTGACAATTGCATTTCTATAGAAGGTTCTATATGTAATAAAACAATATTAAAAGATGATCCGTGTAATCAAATTTTAAGTACAATATTTGCACAATGTCATGAACTTGTTGATCCATATCCATATTTAGCTATATGTCAGGATACATTATGCATAGGTGGAGATTATTGTATTAATATAGCGGCATATGCAAGAAAATGTTCAGAAGCAAGTTTATGTATTGATTGGAGAACAGATGACATATGCCCGTATACATGTCCATCATGTATGAATTTTATATTTTATAGAATATAAGAATTTAAAGTTAATTGATATCTATAGTTATTTTCTTATTTATTTTTTTAATAGATTTAAAATATAAAACGTGCGGTTCGGGTTGCATTGAAACTTGCGACGATATTAACAAAGAAAGTAAAGAAAAATGTCATGCACAATTTGAGGAAGGATGCTTTTGTCCAGATAATTATGTACTTTATAATGGCACATGCGTTAATAGAAAAAAATGTTCTATTTGCGACGAAGATGGTCATATAGAAGGAGATATTTGGTATTCGGACAAATGTACTACATGCAATTGTCATAAAAATCGAGTTAATTGTCAGAAGATAGAATGCTCGACGTTAGATACAATTTGTGAAGAAAGTATGACGCCTAAGCTTGTGCCCGGTACGGAAACAGAATGTTGCCCAAAATATTCCTGTAGTAAGTATACACAAATTATTATTATTATTATTATTATTATTATTGTTATTGTTGTTGTTGTTGTTGTTTTTTTTTTTTCTCGAATTGTCTCATAATTTCCTCTTTTTTTCATTCCATATAATAATATTAGTTGCAGCAACAGAGTCTCCATTATGCGAAGATACACTGCAACCTGATTGTGGATATGGACAGATTATGAAATTGCATACGGATACTAAAGGATGTAAAAAATTCGTATGTGGTATGTAATATATATATATATATATATAATATGTATATATTATCGGATTTAATTACATTTAATATTGATGGAGGAATAAATTGTTATAGAATGTTTACCACCGGAAGAATGTCCTACATTTGAATACGTTGATACAGAAGTTGAAATATTGGAGGAACCTGGTATGACGAAAGTTATGAATACAAGTGGTTGTTGTCCAAAATTCGATGAGATTTGTAATCCACAATTATGTCCTTCAATACCAGTTTGTCCAGATTATTATACATTGAATAAAAATCAATTAACAAATGCATGCTGTCCAGATTATGAGTGTAGTAAGTATATGTATATAATAAATATGTATTTATTTTAAAGTATATACATATATATATATATATATATACATATATATATATATATATACATAGATATGTAATAAATTCATGAAAAATAATTGTGTTAATTTTAGATCCTCCAAAAGATATTTGTCTTTACAATACAACGTCGTCAAATGTGAAAAATATATCAGGATCACAATATGTAATACCAAAAGAAATTGGAGAAGAATGGAAAGAAAATAATTGTCGTACGTGCATTTGCGAAAAGACAGATATGGGTCCTGATATAAAGTGTACAATGATAAAATGTCCTGACGTTCAAATTCATCCAGATATAAGTGATTTTGTAATGGAAGAAGTTTTGATAAACGATGATTGTTGTCCAAGTTTAAAACGTGTAGCATGCAAGGAAGGGGATCAAATTTATAATGTAAGAGATTATTTCTCATGATTCTTGTATAAATTAAAATTAGTATAATAAATTAGATTTTCATTTTTAATTAATATACAATATATATATATATATTCTATGTTTATTGATTAGATTGGTGAAATATGGAAACCTGATCAGGATAATGCTTGTATAACAAAAGAGTGTGTAGAAGTTGCAGGTGTTATACAAAAACAAATAATAATACAGGATTGTAATATTTCTTGTGATTATGGTTACGAGTATCGGCCATCTAATGATAAAAGTAATTATTGTTGCGGAGAGTGTATACCAATTGGTTGTGTTGTAAATGAAGAAATTAAAAATATTGGCGAACAATGGTATTCCAATGACAGTTGTATCACTTATTCTTGTCAATCTATGAATGGAAGTGTAAGTGAATGAAAATTGTAATTTGGATTTTTCTTTCTTTTTTCTTTCTTTTTTTTTTTTTTTAAATACGTACACTAACATAAACATTTGCATTTGATATAATATCTTTTAGATATATATAAATTCAGCAACTGTGTACTGTCCTCTTATCGATCTAATGGATGAACAAGAATTTGTAATTGAGAGATATTTTTTACCTAACAAATGTTGTCCGGATATTGTTAAAACAGCTTGTCGTCATAATGATCAAATATATAAACCAGGTGAAAAATGGAAACAATTGAATAATAATTGTATCACTGAAATATGCGTATTAGAAACAAATGGACTTACGAAAAAACAAGAAATTGAAACTTGTTCCGAAGAATGTCCTATGGTAAGATTATATTAGTTTTTTTTTTTTTATTATTATTATAAAAGTATAAATCTAATGTACGTAATTTTCATATTCGATGTTATATCTTTAAAAAGGGTTGGAATTATCAAGCACCAATGGGAGACAAATGTTGTGGTGATTGTAAACAGATATATTGCGTTTATGAAAATATTCTTTACGAGCCAGGTGCAACGTGGTCATTATTGAATAATAATTGTACAACATATACGTGTATGCAAAAAGATGATCAGGTATTATAATGTAACAATTTTTTTTTATTTATTTTTTTTTTTTTTTTTTTTTTTTTAAAGTTCTATCGTAAACGAGTAGAAAATATTTCTTTGAATAATTTCAGTTTATGGTCAGTATGAGTTCCGTAGATTGTCCTAAAATTACAAATTGTCCAGAAGAATTAATATACAATGATGGTTGCTGCAAACGATGTAATTTAACAAGTCTTAATCAAATGGGTAAGTATAATAAAAGAAATAATGTAAATTGACATTATTTGCAAATTTTTCAATTATAATAATTCTCAATAGGTACTTGTACTGTTAACAAAATGAAGTTGAACGATACCATTGGTATTCTTATCGAAGAAAATGGAGTATATGGTATTTGTAAAAATTTAGAGCCTATAGAAGGAATTACAAATTGTGTTGGAACTTGTCTCTCTAGAACATATTTTGATAAAGGTAAAATTATATCAATTTGAAATATTCAAAGGACAAATTACATTTATTAATAATAATTATTAATAATATATGCATGTATATATATATATTTATTATAGAGACATGGAGTCAGTCTAATGATTGCAATTGTTGTCAACCCAAAGAATATCGTGATTCTATTGTAGAACTTACTTGTGAAAATGGAAGAAAGATTTCAAAGAAAGTAACTCTACCAATATCGTGCTCCTGTAATATGTGTACATCAATAAAATAATTAACGATTTAAGATCATTTAATACATTTATATAATATATTTTTAATATGAATAATAAAACAAATTGATGCATCATTTATTTTACATATGCATCGTTATGTTACATACGAGAGAGCTGTAATCTACGTAGGCTTGTAGATCTATTCTATAATATGTAGTGTTCATTCATTGCGTTTGCAGTTGATATTTTGTTCTACTCTATCGTCAAATTCATTTACCTTTCGAGTTAAAAAATGTTGAACGGTAAATTATCTTCGGTCGGTAAATTTTTTAATTATTACAGATAACTGTTTTATCGGTTAAGTGAATACACTCCATTTTACATTAGTCGATAATATACCGATTAACAATGATATAGTATAGATTTATTCCGTACGTAGCGCTTCTTTTTTTTTCTCATCTTCGTAAGTTATTATTAAGAGATTATATATTTTACTTAAATATAATGTTTATTCAAATTAAAATATAACCGTAGTAAATATCAATAATGTTACAATTTTTTTCTTTTTTCTATTGTCCATTGTGATTAATTTTTATTTATATATGTTATTATACATCTGTACATCTTCTAATTCTTTAATTTATTCTTTCATTCATGCAATTAATTTTATTGATTATAATTAATAATATAAAAATAATGTAATATAAATTATGAAATATCATGAAAATAGAATGTTTTTTTTTTATCATTCCAAAAGAAGATTTTTTTAAATTTATCTTTTACAATGTTATTACTTTAATCTCAACTTTAGTTTAAATTAGGTATCAATCATTCATTTATTCATTTATTCCAAAATATTAGTAAAACATTCTTATTATTGCAATCGTATTAAGATTTCCTTTCTTTTTTGTTTCTTTTTTTATTGTTCATAATAAAAATAACATTGTAAAAATAATCATAGATATTTAGAACTAAGGGATTATTTTCGAATTAACGATAGAACACAAAGATAGGAATGATCGAAGAGTATCTAAAATGGGATAAAAGACGTATAAAGTTTTATCTTTAAATCTTGTATATTTCCTTTAGAATTTAGGAAGTAAACCCAATAGAATAGCAGCAATGTCTATTACATTGTCTTTTCGTTTCGATTGGAGACAGTTTTTGCTGAAACATCGGCCGGCTGATCCGGCATTTTCCAGGCCGGTTGCTTTATCGTTCAACTTGATCCCTCTGTTCGTACCGCGGTGTTACAAGTCCCTGCAATCGATGTTTTCATCCCATCTTCCTTACCCAGCACCGCCCACGCCCTTTCTCTTCGTTTTCTCCTTCTTTAACATTTCTTTCTCTCTCTCTCTCTCTCTCTCTCTTTATATCTATCTACCTATCTATCTATCTATCTCCATGTACTCTCTCTCTTTTACTCTGACTACTATTACTACTACAACTTCGAGTACTTCATCCCTTTCTTTCTTTCCATTTCTATTTCTATTTCACTCTTTTCCTCTTTCTCTTCAGTCACACTATACCCATATTTCTATCCTTCTTTTGCTATTACTACTACTTTCATGTCGACCTTTCGAAATAACCGATGCCATTTGTCTCCCCCCGTATATATATATATATATATATATATATACACATACATACACACACATATATACACACACACACACACACACTGACAGACACATATACGTCGCGTAGGTATAAGCGACGAGATGCGAGTTACCGTACGTTTTTTTCCTCCTCCCCTCCCCACTCCTGTTTTTTTTCTTTTCCCTTTTTTTTTTCCGTAAAAACGTAGTAGAAAGCTCGATTTGATGCCTTTCGAAGAGGGTCGATTCACGATAGAGCTTGGATTCCAACAACGGGAGATCGTTTGAGGACTAACTCTGTCCTTCTGTTCGGTGATCCCGCGAGAAGAGGGCGAATAAAAGTCTACCTTAAGCGATACTACCATGAGTTCCTTTTAACGTTCGTCCTTTTATGGACTTTTAGCGGCCGCGATACCGAACGAGCGTTAATCCCTTCCTTCCTTCCTTTCTTTCTTTTTTTCTTTCCTTTTTTTCTTTCTTTTTTTCCTTTCCTTTTTTTCTTTCTATTTTTTTACAACTCTTTACTTTGTTATTCTTCTTCTTCTTCTTCTTCTTTTTTATCTTTATTTTTATTCTTTTTTTTTTTAATGGAATTGAAAACGTCCTTGGAGTAATTTGCTAGAATGAAATTTGTTGAATCTGTCCTATTTTTTATTTATTTTATTTCTTTCTGTCCTATTATTAATCGCATTGAAAATTAAACGAGAATTTAGATTATTCGTTAAGATTACTCATTAAGATTACTCGTTAAGATTGCTCGTAAAGATTATTCGTAAAGATTATTCGTAAAGATTATTCGTAAAGATTATTCGTAAAGATTATTCGTAAAGATTATTCGTAAAGATTATTCGTAAAGATTATTCGTAAAGATTATTCGAAGTTAATTTATATTTATATTTATTATTGCTAATGGAAAATGTTATTTATTGATCGCGAATAGTTTATTATTTTCTGTTTGGCTTTATTATTTCAATTATTTAAAGGAAACTTTTTTTCTTGCTTTCTCTTATCTTTTCCTTTTCTTTTTTTTTTCTTTTTATTCATCGTGACCACGAACATCGTAAAATCGATTGTTTTATTTCTTCGAGTTCTCGTCGATCGTCGATGTCATTTAAAGACAATTTTTTTTTCATTTTCCTTCGATAGAAAAAAAAAAAGATAATAATAATAAAAAAGTCAAAGAAGAAGAAACGTTTATCCTTCTTATGAACTGTAAAAAAAAAAAAAGAAAAAGGAAGAAAAAAATTGATTTTAAAAGCCGCCGTAAAGAGATAAGACTTTTAGTGATATAGTTGAAATATTGATATTAGAGTTTAATGTATATGATACATTATCGATTCTTTAACACGTTAAAAACTAGAGTTTTTAACGTGTCCAATACCCTCGGGCATTGGATTTTGTTTCCTCGGGACGCGGGATTCGACGTCGAACGAAGATACACGTCGGAGACACGCGATCTGATATTCAATATCCTCCAGCTTTTTCCCCATGGGAGTATTTGGCTTCGAGTCAGCGTACGTTTTCTATCCACTTTCCGCAACTTTCGAATCTCTCCTTTTTTCCCTCTCTTTCTCTCTTTCTTTCTCTCTCTCTCTCTCTCTCTCTCTCTCTTTCTCTTCGCAAGACGGATGACAGATCTGAGAATGAAAAGAAAGAAAAGAAAAAAAAAAACAAGGAAAGAAAAGGATTTTTTCGATTGTTACTTTTGATTTAAGCTGAAGTATTTCAAATTATCTTGAACGACGATATCATTTTATTCGTCTTTTATTATTATCATTTATGTGATCCGCATCAATTTATATACTTTTACGTTTAGGAATTATTTTTTCGTCTTTTTTTTCTCTTCTTTCTTTTTCCTTCTTCTTATCTTTTTGTTGGACGTACACGTGCATTTATATTTGAATTAATTTTTTCTTTTTCTTTTTACCTTTCTTTTTTTTTTTTTTTTTTTTTTTTTTTTTGCTCACTTTATTTTATTCTACTTTATTTTATTTTTTTTTTTTTATAAACAACAAACGTAAAAGTAAAATATTCGTGTACTTGTATCTTGTAAAGTAATCATACTATAATGATTATCGAAGAAATAGAACTTTTACAAATTATACTTTTAGTTTTACAACTTGGAACAAAAAAAATATTTATATATTTATTTAAAATATATATATTTAAATATATTAAATAAAAATAAAATTAAACAAAATAAAAATAAATTAAATAAAAAAATATATGTTTAAAAAGAAAAAAAAAAAAATATATATATACATATTTAAAATAAATATATATTAAATGACAAAAAAGAAAAAAAAGAAAAAAGTTTTCTATCAAAAAGTACAAAAATACAAAAATACAAAAATACAAAAATACACATAAAATAACTTTCAACAAAAATGAAGGGAACACTCGTGACAATATTTAAATCTTCTTTACTTTTCTTTTCTTTTTCTTTTTTTTTTCTTCTTTTTTTTTTTCTTCTTCTTTTTTCCTTAAACAAAATAAATCGAGAGAACGATAGTGAACGACGATAATGATCGTATCAGTAACCCGATTAACTTTGTGATTATATACGACGTATTTATCTTTTTACGATGTTCGGTCCATCGTCATTTTGAAAATGGGATTGATCGATCCGACATAGTGTTTTGATAACCGACGACGCGTGACGTTGGTCAATTATAACGTCGCCGTTATACTCGTATCTATCGTTCGAGATAGATTTTTGTTGTCCTTTATGTTTCAAGATTTATTCTCGTCCTTTCCCACGTTATTTTTCCCATCCTCCCCTTTTTCGAAAATAGTTTATTGTTCTATGGTAACACCATATATATATATATATATATATATATATATATATATAAACCGATCGAAATCCATTCCTCGTATTTCATCGTACGAAGAAAGAAATGTCAAGGAGATCCTTAACGGAAACCAGACTGAGTGGCGCAATTCCGTAAGATATGTCCCATCAACCGGAAGTCGCCAAACAGAGAGAGAGAGAGAGAGAGAGAGAGAGAGAGAGAGAGAGAGAGAGAGAGAGAAAGAATATAAATTGAATCAGGATCGCGTTGCACTCGTCCCAAAACGTTCAAAACCGACTTCGCACGCCCTTTAAATCGTCGACGCGAGACCGTGACGTAAGTCCCTTCGACCACCCTTCCTTACGCCCCTCTCTCCTCTCTCCTCTCCTCTCCTTTTCTCCTTACAAAACTCTTCTCTCTCTTTTTCACTCTTTCTCTCTCTTTCTCTCTCTCTCTCTCTTTCTCTCTCTCTCTCTCTCTTTCTCTTTCTTTCTCATCCCTTTTCGATTCTGGTTTTACTGCAAAGCCGGACAACCATTACAGAACGGAAAATGCCAATAACTTTGGCGCGACGGGCCACTTAAATTTCTCCCTCACGATTTTCCACTCTTACTTCTATTTCACGTATTTTTCCCTAGGATATATAACTGATATAGTTTTCTACGCTATCGTAAATCTTATTTATCAA